ATGTTTTCTGTCACGTCTGAAACTTTAAGCTACCATGCAAGTACTCCTTTCTCCCAGTCAGTCACAAAGGACTCAGCAAATGCTCAATTATTCTTCATTACATTTTTGGAAGATACGTAAGTAAGTTGGATTACTTCCTATATTATCAGTTAATTTTATAGTAAAATCTTAACTTTTTTCACGGTTCATATGGACCAGATTTCAAATTTCTCTTAGACCAAATTAAGACGTTAATCTATATCTGTATACAAAGTATATGTACAAACCATAGAGATTATTTATGGAAAAATTATTGCTTTTAAATTAAACAAAATATTTTAGTTTACCAAATACTTTTACTTTAAAATGAAGCAATTTTTTAAGGAAAAATTAAAACAATACCAAACGGAGCTTTTGTCTCGACCTTTTCTCTTTACGAATCTAAAATATAGAGATACTTCATAATCACAATAAAGTCCACATTTATGATCTCCTCTTTGACAAAGAGAGGCTATGATATTTTGTGAAATAGAAACTGTCACAATCACCGAATTGTCATCTTAGATTTTTTTATTTTCCATTACCATATGTCTATATAACTTAAATCTATTAGTCTAGCAGAAGAGCATTGAGGAAAATAATAGCTTACATAAATCTTATGACTTCTAAACAAATTTCTTCAATGTTGCATAGCATTAAATGATACAAGAATAAATGATTGAGATTAAAAGTGGGGCGGTCTTTGATATTTTTGAGTTCTTGTGCGAATTTTTTTTAATTAAAAAATCCTCTTTATTTAAAAACATAATAATTTTTTGGACAATAGAGTCATACAAAGTTCTACAATCAATATTCAAACTTAATGAAATCAACATCACACTTTTACTAATTGAACAATGTCTAATGCCATGAATCATGATTTAGGGTTCATCCATGAAAAAAATGGAGCACGATTAAAAGAGAGATACAGAAATACGCTTGTATTTGTGAAAGAAAGTAATACACAAATTAGTTTTATTGCTAAAGAAAAGTGGTACACAATTTTTTGTATTTGCTAGAGCAAAGTGAAAAATTAATAAATTAAGTATAAGCTGCACTTATTCTTATATAGAGAAAATCAATTGATGATGATTTTTCTTTTCAGTTAGAAATTTTTTATTAGCAAATTTATACTCATATGTAATATATAAGAGGATAACTTTTTTTGGGACCCATTAGAAATTTGGGGCCCTATGCCACTATACCTTTTGCACCCCTAACATTCTCTCTGATTAAAAGTAAAAAATCTAAACAGTTCTGGAATTCAAATCTAATAGTTAAAGCATCCAAAGTATTGAAGCCACATTTGACTTCCAAATAAGTGAAAGACTATTAGTTTGTTTGAATTTTAGTAATTTTTCTTTTTTCAAGGTGATTTGCTACTCACATGTTGGAGGTGGGACAAACCCTACTAACCTAATGGTTTAGGGCGTGCTTAATGCAACCTCAATAAGAGTTGCTAATGAATCTTTCACCGATTTGACTTATCTTCAATCCAATCAATCATTTCAATGTTCAACTTAGTTATAAGCCAACACCACACTACCAGATTTGGGCAATGAATTTATTATTTATTATTAGAAAAGATCTCAACTTTGAAACCTCATTAAATTGATGATATGGTAAGAGTAAGATTCTTATATGGGCTAATGTGTAACATTTGCACCACATTGATACAAAAACTCATAAATTTAATGGAGGAATAGATATTAAAATAGACAAAGGGTGTAAATACAATTTCAATACTTTAGGTTGCAATGAAAAAAATTTAGAAACCCGTCTCTTATTTTAAAAATCACCCTAAACTGTAAAGCTTTGCGTCTTTAAACAACTAAATAAAAAAGAGTAACACACCCTTAATCAAAATATTTTTGCATTTTCATATACACATATATGGTTCGATTTTGTAAGTTTCTTGACCCACAATTGCAAAAAATATGGTCTTTTTTTTTTTCTACTTGTAAGTGAGAGATTTTAGGTTTTGTGATTGATAAGTTTGATATCAAATTATTATGGCATGTGTCACATCCCGGCCCGGGCCCCCACCACATCTATGACTCGACTCCACCGTAGTACGATACTGTCAGCTTTGGGCCCCGACCACGCCCTCACGGTTTTATTTCTAGGAACTCACATGAGAACTTCTCAGTGGGTCACCCATCTTGTGAATGCTCTCGCCTAAACTCGCTTAACTTTGGAGTTCCGATGGAACTTGAAGCCAATGAGCTCCCAAAAAGCCTCGTGCTAGGTAGAGATGGGAATATACATATAAAGCTTAGAAGATCCACTCCCTTGGGCGATGTGGAATGTCACAATCTACCCCCCTTAGGGGCTCGACGTCCTCGTCGGCACACTTTCGGCCAGAGATTGGCTCTGATACCAAATTGTCACATCCTGACCTGGGCCCCCACCACATCTCGACTCCACCATAGCACAATATTGTCCACTTTGGGCCCCGACCACGCCCTCATTGTTTTGTTTTTAGGAACTCACACAAGAACTTCCTAGTGGGTCACTCATCTTGGGAATGCTCTCACCCGAACTCGCTTAACTTCGGAGTTCCGATGGAACCTGAACCCAGTGAGCTCTGAAAAAGCCTCGTGCTAGGTAAAGATGAGAATATACATATAAGGCTTAGATGATCCACTCCCTTGGACGATATGAGATGTCACAACAAGCTCATTATGTGATTTAGCCCAAACCTCCCTCACTTTTGTGTAAATATATTGTTAAATTAAAACAAGGAAATGCTGGGAGGCTACATTTTGTAGACCACATGTGGAACACTTCTCTAACTAAAGGTGAGATGTAATTGTATTGGTGGGTCCTACTTGTATTAGAAAGATCGTTCACATATAGCCTACAAAATGTGGTTTGTCTATCAACACCATAAATAAAAAATGAACAATGCTTAACTACTCAAGGATGAGTAAGAACCCATACTCCAAATTTTGCGTGTCTGATTAATAGAACTTTGTACTTATAGTCGAAAACGTTCATATTATAAATACATTATGAATGATTCTGATTAGAAACACTAAATTCTGTGGACAAGAAATGAAGGGTTTTTTAGTACGAGCTCCTATTTATCTTTTGAGTATTCAAGTATTATTAAAAAAATTCCACATAAGTTGCATTATGAGAAATTTGTAGTGTAATTGGTCTTAATTAATGTTTAAAATATCGGTATACCGATATGCAAATTTGTAGAAATATCGACAGATGTACTGAATCGCTATCTATCTTGGTTGCTTTTGATGGAAATAACAGAAATTTAAAATGAAATTTTATACTTTGTTTGGATGAATAAATTTAAGATTACTAAGGAATTTTAAAATGATGGAAATTGAAATGACAAAATTTAATTTTCTAAAATTTGTGAATTTTCTTGTTTGGCTACCTTAAAAGAACAATAGAATTTGAAATGGAATTTGTTATTTTTAAACTCTCACCTTAGAAATTTGGAAAGGACACCTATTTACATGAAATTTAAACTTGGAAATTTGAGGTCTCAAATTCCAAGTATTTTTCCTTGCAGAAATTTTAAATTTCTATGTTTATGAATCCAAACAAGAGAATTGGTGTATGTCAATTTATAAATTCTGACTTTTATCAAAATCCCAAGTTTATTTCCTTCATTCAAATATAGTGTTAGGGATTGTCAACTATTAATTTGGATGAAATATAAGAGTTTCTCTAATATTTAACAGATTTGTCAAAAATATTGACAATATCCGTCGATTAAGCTAAACTTAAGAGTTTCTCTGATACCCCTATTTGCATATCTTTCTCTGATTTTTTTGAATATTTTCATGATAATATCTACAATATTGAAGAAATTTTAAGCACGGCTGTTAATTCCCTCCATTACCTTTGTCAACTCCATCATCAACATCTGTTATGCCATAGTGTTCTCCGTCATCCTTTAGGGTGCGTTTGGTACGCAGACGGGACGGGACGGGACGGAACGAAGGTGTAATTTTTGAAAAAGACATGGGGTATATTTGTCTTAAAATGGTAAAACGTTGTGTTCCACAGACGTGGAACAAACTCGTTCTAGGGGGGAGGCAGGACGCAAAAACACCCAAAATCTGTCCCGTAGAACAACCCGTTCCACCCATTTTTAGCGCACCAAACGCGGGACGGAACGCTTTGTCCCGTTCCGTCCCACGTACCAAACGCACACTTATTTCACTCCTTTAATTTTTATTTTCCTTTCTTATGATTAATATACAACAATTAATTTTCAAAATCTCTTATTTCCTCCATTGACCTTGGATCACAATCTCATTTTTGAACCGGCCTAGGGCCAGGGAGGGCCCTAATCTTCCCTCTTTTATGACCCTTCACACGGAACCGGATCCCGTCCGGACTCTTTGAAAGTGAGCCTCCTAATCTAGGGATCCGGATTGTTGAAATTTGATCTAACAGCTACAAACATGGGGTTCCTCTAAATGTTATAATAATTGTAGCCGTTGGATCAAATTTCAACAGGCCGGATCCCTTGGTCAGGTGGCTCAATTTATAAGGATCCGGTTCCCCTTCACACAAAGCCAACCGTTAGGGTCAATCTTGCAATTTCCACCCAACCCCAAGGGCATATTCAAGACGCGCCGAAATTTCAGAGTCCCAGACATGATTTTGTCGGATTTAACTTCGCTGCTGTTTACACCCAATCCCGATTGGGACACGTGTCTGAGTTTTGATTAAAAAATCAAAACTTGGACACATGTCCAATCGGGAATGGATGTAAGCAGCAACTGCTGCTGAATTTGCAGCGGCCAAGTTCAGTTCGATTTTTCCACCCGAAACAGAGCTCAAACACCAACAAAATGACCCTCCTACCCACCACTCTATTCAAATTTCAAACCCATTTCCATCGCCATTCCCCAAAAACCCCAGGGGTACATTCGTCAATCCAATCCCTGCCAGCAATAATAATTATAAATTCTTCAGGGCCATAAATTCAAATTTCCGGATAGAAAAAGGAAGCCCGGCTGGGCGTCTGTCCAAAATCCAAACGCTCCTGCGAAACGCACCGCTCCCTGCTTTAAAGCGCTTGTACTCTAAGACTCGGCGCTTTTGACCGGTTGTACCTTGCGCTTAAATTTCGGTTACAATATTTACACGGGCGGTGCTACAGTGCGCCGAGAGCGAACCTTTGCGTTTCTCTCCGATACAAAGCGGAGTTGAAAACTCCGGATTTAGGGTTTTAGCGGGTCGGGTGCGGAGCTCCGAAGCCCTAACCAGAGCTATTTCTGGCTCTGCTCGGCGGTGCATTTTAGAGAGAGAGTGAGGATGGAATTGGAGGAAGATATGGAGGTTGAGCAAGTTTTAATGGCGCAGGAAGTGGACATTGACTACGAGTACGATGCAGCTCGGTACTTCGACTTTGGTAGGCAGGAGACTCCGGCTGAGGCTCGCCGCGCCGAGCTCTGGTTCGAGTCCGCCAAGAGCTACCCGCCGTCTCGTAAGCCTCTCTGCCTTCAACAACGCCGTTTCTTGACATTTGCATTTCGGAATCTTTTTAATTCATCAATAGTAAGCTTGGCTTGATCCATTTTTCAAGCATTTCAAAAATTAGGAAATAATTTTATTTTTAGCATTTGTTTTTGTTTAAAGATAAAATGATTCATATCTTTTGTTCAATTTTGTATATGTCATCAGATAATTTCCGTGAAAATGATTATTCTGATAATACATTGCCTTTTCTTGTGAATTATGAATAAAAATCCGCAATTTTAAGGATTACAGCGATGTTTGAATTTATAATTTTGACAATGGAAAGTGATTTCAATGGCTGATGTTGATCTGTTGCAGCTGTTGTGACAAGGTTAATACTTGGACTGGAAACCCTCCTGGAAAATGTAAACACCTTGCCGAAATCCAATGCGGAGACTGCAAATGACAGCAATTGTGATATCGGTGTGGGCACAAAAGCATGTGCAATGGATGAAAATAGCAGAGGTATGGACGAAATCCCTTTGATTTGTGCCTTGTGGAGAAGCAGGATTTAGAACAGATTAGTCTTTTGTTTTTGGCATTTTGTTTTCTTGGTTTGAAGTATAAATCTTTTAAGTGCAATGTTTCCTGTTGTAGCTGAAGGAATGAATAGAGGGATCTTTGGAAATTTACAAAAAGTTTTAAATCAACCAAATGGAGCTGGTACAGGTGATCGCTTTATACCTTGATGACTATGGTGTTTGCTAATGGAATTCCCAGATTTATTTCCGAATAAATTAAGAGCATGATATAAACTATACGCAGTTTAAGTCTGCAGTTTTTCAGATGGAATTAGATTTTTAAACAAGTTATTACGGATGCATTACTAATGAACTATAATAAACTATTTCAATTGGTCAAGACTCCAGCACAATGTATGTGTTGTTTTCATTTTCTTTCTCCCTCTTTAATTTATGCTTTTGTTTTCCAGGGGTGACAGTCAACAGTTACTTAAACGGTGATAAGCTTAAGGGTAAAAGTAATGCTTCTGTAAAGCCATCTTTCCCCAGGAGCTCAACTTTGATGAAGCCTACTGCAAGTCAGCTCGCTAAGCAAAATCTGAAGTCTCTAAATGGCGGTTCCAGGTACTTCAGAATGTCCTGCCTTTCGACTATGCATACGATATTTTTTGCGTTGCATTGAAGTACAGATGTGGTATTCTTTTAAAATTATTCATATCACTTTATCATTACAGTTGCTTCCGTAGCTAACTTAAGTAACTATCATGTTCTCTGTTCCTCTCCTTATGCACACTGATTTAAATCCCCCAGATTGTAAATTGGGAGTTACTATGTCCAATAAAGTAATTATATGTGAGACTGTAATACCTCCATTCTATGTCCTGTAAACAGAGAAAGTGTAAAATGTGGACATCTTACTACCGTTAAGTCCCATACTTACTGCATCTGATGTCTTATTACTTAATTGTTAGATTCCAGATGCTGCATGTTCAAAATAATGAGAAGAGCTTATGTAGTTCTTCTGGGGTTGAAAGTCAAGCTCCCAAAAGACAGAAGCTAGATGGAGGACACTTGCGTAAGGTACAGAAGTTTTACCATCTGCAACTGGTACTGAGCACATTCAAATTTTGTTATCCATTTTTTTCTTTAATGCAAGAACTGTTTCTGTGATATTTATACACGGACCTGTATTCTTCTGGACCAAATTTTTGTGTGGCACACATGCTTCACACATGGACCAACAGTTTTTGGGCACATATGATTTGACCAATATTTACTGTTATTGGCATGCTGATTATGCTCTTTAAGTATGCATCTCATTTAGATTCTAATAGTTATTTAAGGAGGTATACTTTGGTTTTTGAACTAGTGCCTATGAATTAAGCTTTCTTCACTTTTCTTCGTGACAGGTTACTGATGTGAAGGAGCAAACTAATTTCATCCACAAGGTGCCTAAAAAGGTATTCTAGCTTTTACCATAAAAGTTGTCCTCCAAAAATTTCAACTTTAGACAAATAATAGCTTTGTCTGGATGGGTTTATTAAAAAAAATACAACTGCTAACTGTTTTACAGCGCATTTTATATTGTTAAGGAGGTAATCCTGGGTGTAATAGAGCTTCCCAGATTTCTTTACTTGTGATTTTGTTTCTAGATGTCTGGAGTGATGCATAAAAGAAAACTGAGATGACCTGTAATATATGCACTATTGCTGATAATGTCTTAAATAAGAGATGCTCAATTCATCAGATATGTTTATTAAACTTTCTTATTTATGGGTGGTATTGCAGGATGAAACTTTTGACAAAACCACTGCACATGCTAAGTTGAGACTTACTATTTCAAGAGAGCCTGACTTTGAAACGGCACATAGGGCACACAGGATTAGGTGGGTTTTGGCTTTAGGGGCAGAAATCACATAGTTTAGTTTACCAGTTTACAGGTAGTTATGATATGTTTATATTTCAGGCCTAACAATGGATCAATGTTAGAACAAGTGACATCAACTCATCGAAAATTCAAAGCTCGTCCATTGAACCGAAAAGTTGGTACTTAAAGTTATTAGATGGGGATTTTGAATAATGTTTTATCTTTGATTCCTCCTTCACTGTTTTTTTTTTGCATTTATACTGCAGATTTTTGAGGCTCCTTCATTGCCACTCCCAACAAGGAGCACTCCAAAGTTGCCAGATTTTCAAGTGAGTGCTTGATATTTATAATTTTTTTGCTGCTTAACCTATTATTACTCTTTTCTTCAGTGGCTTGGAGGATAAAGACAGTTGTACCCTCAAACTGATTTGAAAAATAAAAAAGGCTGTAAAATAAGTGCCTTTTGAAGTTTTGTGGCTCAGAGTCCCTTTGTTAATTTTGCTTTTTAGGAGTTTCACCTGAAGACAATGGAAAGGGCTATGCAAAATGCATCGGCTGTTTCATCATCCTCACATCATCTCAACGATCATGACAAGGTTAGCTGTGAATTTAATTAAATAGTTTTCACTGTTATCTTAAGTCAAAGTGGTCCCTTGAGTCATGTGAAACGTTGTGCTCAAAAGCATTTCATGTAAATGTGCCTATAATCTGCATTTTGTAGGATTTGGAAAAACCAAGTATTTCTACCGTCGTGGAAAACAGAAAAGGAGAATCCAGAAGGTAATAGCATAAAGAATCTTATATAACTACATCAACATGAGAAGTAGAAATGCTCAGTTCGCTTTTTCCGATGTTTTCTCATACTAGGAAAATAGTTCTTACTATGGGTTTGATCTTCTTTGATTAGACCAAGTACAGTGGAATGTCCTAAGCAAGATAGAAATACAGGAATGCAAACATTTAAAGCTCGTCCTCTTAACAAAAGGGTAATATTTTACTGCTCTACATCATTCAGCTGAAATTTTTTCTAGCTGATGCCAACTATGGGATTATTTCCTATATAAATGCAGATATTTTCTAGCAAAGGGGATATTGGTGTTTTCTGGAATAGTAAGCGGGAAACCACTGTATCAATGGTAGTTCATAGACGTTATTCTCTTGCTTAGTGACCATAAATCGTATTTGTTTCCCAGTTTGCAGAATCAGCTAAGCTAACACCATGTTTACTTCATATAAAGGAATTTAATTTTCAGACAGACAGGGGAGTACAGCAATTTCCGCCAACTGAATTTTTTAGTAAGGTATCAAAAAGTTTATATGATGTAAAGTTGTTTTACAAATTTGTGCTTCTCTCATGTTGTTCCTTCGTAACGATTACAGTTTGCATAAACACATATACCTGTAATCTCATTTATTCTCCTGTTGAATCCTAGCTCTCATTGACAACTGAGCTCCAGCAGAATAATGGATCACCAGTGAAACTTTCCCAGCCTACATCTTTGTCTACGAAGGTTATCCTCGTCCCCTTTACTTTCTTATCATTCATGTCACATATATTATTGATTCGATTTCACTTTCCCTAGTATTCTATTGAGTTATTTGTTGGTATTTCTTTGACTTAAGGACTCAAAAGAAAATAGATCGACTTTTTTGCAACAAGAACGTGAGGTAAGGTACCTTATAGGACTGATTATGGATAGTCTTAATTGTTCATTTATCTTTAATTTTTTATGAGTGCTTGACCGTTCTCTTTCCATATCTTCTCTCATATGATAGCACATCCTCTTGTAGATAAAAGAAAAACCTTCTCTGTTTGGTGGAAAGCAGGCTCAAGACGGGTGCATGACGGATGCTGATAAGAAACTGAGGATGAGGTGCGCTAGCTGAATGAAGGATAATAGATACTATTTTAGTTTCTATATTTTTTCTTATTCACTCATCTTGTCCCTGAAATTGTTACAGGAGGTTGGGCGTCTGTTGACGTTAAAGAGTGGCATCTACATGTGAATCAGATTTTGGTATCTTCTATCAAAATAAAAGGTCGGAAATATGTTTACCATTGATGGTTATACAACTCCGCAAAAAGATTATCAAGCACTTCTGTTGTAAATGGAGTCCACAATGGCTGGTCTTCTTTCAAATATATGTAAAACCAGCTCTTTTTTCTTTTCATTTCCCCAATTTGTAGGTTTCAGTTGAAATCTAATAAAACGTAGAAAGGCCGGTGTTGTAGAGCTGTTAAGGCCACCTCTTACGACATTTTTGGTGGCACCAACGCATGTAATTGTGATTAGTTAAGGAATATACACAATTTGGAGTTATGTCTCCTCTTTACCTCCATCTGCATCCTTGATTTCCAGATTGTTCTTTGTTAGGGCCTGCTTTGTCCAACCCTTTATAACGTAGGCTCGTTGAAGGGTTTCTTCTCCTTGCCAAGTCTCCTATTTGTTATGGCAATGGCAAGATCGTTTGGAAACAGCGTTTGCCAAACAAAGATGTGAAGAAGAGTGGAGATGAACAATACAGACACCATTGCAGTTGACAAGAGAGAGTGGCCGCAAGGCCCTTGCTTGGAACTGATGGTACTTGTTCTGCATACTTGATGGCGACTACTTGGAAAGTTGTCACCGGAAAGGTGCAAGACTGCCAAGCCACTGAAAATCTACAAAAATTTGACAACCTAACACGTTAGAGATCATTCCTCGTCAAATATAAATCAAACAAATGAATCGAAGATTTAACTTTCCTCAGAAAATAGGGTGCTTTGAAGATGCAAATGGCAGGGTGTAGTTTACCCGGGGCCAGTGCAGGTGGTACGCCGAGGACTAAGAACACACAGACAACCCAAGGGGCGAAGAAGAATTTGATCCGAACAGCGTGCGAAAACTCTCTTTTCGCGGCTTCGAAGTAGTAAATGCATTTGAGGATGCAGGTGAAGGAGACAGAATAGGACTGCCACTGCTATTAGTAATAGCCAAGGTGCAAGGTTTTAAATGGTGAAATGTCGAGAAACTTGGTAGCTGGGCTAGTTGCCAGGGCATGCCATAAGACAGCTTGGCTGCTAAGATATATATAAGGTAAACGCTTGTCAAACAATCTGACATGTTAAGGTTACCAAACTGTCAATCTAATTAAACCATTGATTACATAAGTTCTTATTTTAATGTTGTGTATGACGTTCTGATAACGTAATGCTTGGCGTATGAGTCAACTTATAATATTAGCATATAAAACATTTGGAACAATTATTTCAAGATTAGCCAACAACCTGGTGTGATCAGTGTGTTAATTACCTTGACTTGGTCAAGTGCAGGGCCTCTGAGAGCAATAAAGTATCTCCCAGCCGGAACACTTTGATTAACAGACTTATCAACTCCTGCACAGCCATCATTAGTCCACTGAGACTCCAGATCTCTTTCCTTTCTCGACGGCAACCAAGAGTTCTGCTTACTCAGATTTGATCATTTGGTCTATAAGAGCCGTTAAATTGTGATACTAAATTTGTAACCGTTCAACCTGTTACCCTGTTTCCAAATTCTTGAAAGATTTTTTTTTTGGCGATTTTTGGCATATGCAATCTCGTACTATATTCAAACAAGTTTGATGATTGGATCGTGAAAATTGCTTTCGTAGAGTGTGTATCCCGACAAAACAATAGAAATAGATTTAACCAACACTTAAAGGTTATTCTATAGTTCTATTCAAGCGTAATATATCATTTTGTGGTAACCACTATTGTAAATATTTTAAATAGATGATCGGGTTTGTTCATTGTATTCTTCTAGGGTCGAGGAGTGTAATTGCAAAAAATCATCAAAATCAGAGTCAAAATAACCAGTAAAACTTGATTTTTCGTTTCTAACCGTCTAAGAATTTCACCTTGTTACCTAATCTCCGACCCGTTATAATCTCGTAGTATATACCAAATACATTGATGGTTGGATCATGGAAATTAATTGTACTACTTTCCAACCACCCCTCGCCTTTAGATCATCGAGGTAGAATACTTGTTTCACTGTATTTTGTTGACAGATATAAGTACATATCATGAATGAGACTACCAGCTTTGTCTGGGTTCATATCATATCAATGACACTTGAACAACATAACTTCCTTGCGGTTTGTGTATAACAATTGAACCACACTTAGAAGCTTGTTGAAGAAATAACTATTCTCATGTACCCCCAGTACAAAAACTCTAACTATTTTGAATGCACAATTAATGGTATAGTTCATGTGTCAAGAATTTAACTTTGTTTACATGACAACTATAGTACGCTTGGGCTTTAACAGGACCACATGCGAGTTGAAGTAATTCTTCATTAAATAAGGGTGATTTGTCTTCTCTTAACGGTCGCATCTAGTAAAGTTCAAATACCACTGTATATGTAGGTTTTTGCAACAGATAAAATTAATTTAGTTTAAAAATAAAAACACTTACATGTTGGGCAAACCAATGCGGAAATAATTATATATGGATTTCAACCCAATTTGAAAGGTATCGGGTCTTCATCAGTGCCTCATGCAGTTCGAGAAATGGCGAGACTTCATCACAGTTACTTAATATGAACCAATGAGCCATCTCCAAGTCAGCTTCTTTGAACGGTTTAGACGAATATCCTTCGCCAAATGGCGTGCAGGTTAAGTAAAGACATTTTTTTTGGATAAATCACCAAAATAGTCCCTGAGATTTGCATAACTCATCACTTTGGTCCCTAAGATTCCAAATCGATAAAAGTGGTCCCTGAGATTGTCCACCATCCATCATTTTGGTCCTTCCGTTAAAAACTCCGTTAAGTGTCCCGGAACTCTTTGCCGGAAGTTTGGGCAATTTTCAAAGCTTCGTAACTCAATTGTTTCTTAACCAAATTCGACCCATAATATATCAAAATGAAGATAGGAAAGTATAGAATAAGATTATACTTATTTTGAAGCCTAATGGTTGCCAGAGATTGCCAGAAAATAGCCTCAAAGTTGACTGGTCCGAGTGAAAACTTGAAAACACGCCGGAAACTGGGTAAACTTTAAACATTCATAACTTCTTCAATACTCAACGAAATCAAGTGATTCAAAATGAAAAGCATACTTCTCGATGAGACAAAGATAATGGCACCTTTTTGTATGGCTAACTCGCTATGGTTTGGCCAGAAAACGGCTCGAAAGTGGATGTCTTGGTCTCGAGTTAGCCACTTTCGAGCCGTTTTCCGGCTAAACCACAGTGATTTAGCCATAAAAAAGGTACCATTCTGTTCATCTCGTCGAGAAGTATGATGTTCGTTTCTAAATCACTTGATTTCGTTGAGTATTGAAAAAGTTCTGAACGTTTAAACTTTACCTAGTTTCCGGCGAGTTGTCAAGTTTTCACTCGGACCAGTCAACTTTAAGGCTATTTTTTCGGCAATCTCCGGCAACCATTGGGCTTCAAAATAGCTATAATCTTATTCTACAATTTCCTATCTCCATTTTGATATATTATGGGTCGAATTTGATTAAGAAAGGATTGAGTTACGAAGCTTTGAAAATTGCCCAAACTTCCGGCCAGTTCGAGAAATGGCGAGACTTCATCATAGTTACTTAATATGAACCAATGAGCCACCTCCAAGTTAGCTTCTTTGAACGGTTTAGACGAATATCCTTCGCCAAATGGTGTGCAGGTTAAGTAAAGACATTTTTTTTTGGGTAAATCGCCAAAATAGTCCCTGAGATTTACATAACTCATCACTTTGGTCCCTAAGATTCCAAATCGATAAAAGTGGTCCCTGAGTTTGTCCACCATCCATCATTTTGGTCCTTCCGTTAAAAACTCCGTTAAGTGTCCCGGAACTCTTTGCCGGAAGTTTGGGCAATTTTCAAAGCTTCGTAACTCAATTGTTTCTTAACCAAATTCGACCCATAATATATGAAGATAGGAAAGTAAAGAATAAGATTATACCTATTTTGAAGCCTAATGGTTGCCAGAGATTGCCAGAAAATAGCCTCAAAGTTGACTGGTCTGAGTGAAAACTTGAAAACACGCCGGAAACTGGGTAAACTTTAAACATTCATAACTTCTTCAATACTCAACGAAATCAAGTGATTCAAAATGAAAATCATACTTCTCGACGAGACAAAGATAATGGAACCTTTTTGTACGGCTAACTCGCTGTGGCTTGGTCGGAAAACGGCTCGAAAGTGGATGTCTTGGTCTTGAGTTAGCCACTTTCGAGCCGTTTTCCGGCCAAACCACAGTGATTTAGCCATAAAAAAGGTACCATTCTGTTCATCTCGTCGAGAAGTATGATTTTCGTTTCTAAATCACTTGATTTCGTTGAGTATTGAAGAAGTTCTGAACGTTTAAACTTTACCTAGTTTCCAGCGAGTTGTCAAGTTTTCACTCGGACCAGTCAACTTTGAGGCTATTTTCCGGCAATCTCCGGTAACCATTGGGCTTCAAAATAGGTATAATCTTATTCTACAATTTCCTATCTTCATTTTGATATATTATGGGTCGAATTTGATTAAGAAAGGATTGAGTTACGAAGCTTTGAAAATTGCCCAAACTTCTGGCCAAGAGCTCCGGGACACTTAACGGAGTTTTTAACGGAATGACCAAAATGATGGAATCTTAGGGACCAAAGTGATGAGTTATGCGAATCTCAGGGACCATTTTGGCTATTTACCCTTTTTTTTTTCAACTGCTCACCTCTGTCAAAATTACATGGGCGCTTGTTGAAGGAAGTTTCAACATTCCTAAGGTACCTCAGATAAAAGGTAAGTGATTCTAGTACACTACTGGCCTCCGCTATGAATTTTTGGTTGTGTCCTATTGCGAATGAATTGCTTGTAACTAGGTCAGTAGTCTGAAAATTATCAAAATTATGAGAATTTTTAATTTCAATCGCTTTACAAATAACATTAACAAACGTACTGACAAGATTACCGCTTAATTGGATATATGTAACGGTTATGCACTGGTAACACACTTGGCCTTATAAGACAGATGTCTCATTACGTGAACCATACTTGTGAAAAGTGTTCGTGGATCTATTTGCTCTAACCGAGATAGGATGTACACAATATCTTCGAGCATATCATCTATGTCTGACTTTCGCAATGTTTTAGCACATAGTTGCTGGAAGAACGGAGACAAATATACATTCGTCTAAACAACCTCGTGGTCCAAGTATGGTCGAATACCAATCGGAAGGAGTCACTGCAGTAAGCCATGACATTTGTGACTCTTAAAACCCAACAATGTCCCAG